TATAAGTTACTATGATAATGACTGCAAATCGATCAAGTTTTCAAGCCTTGTCTATCGAAATCGCGAAGAATGATTACGTAAGACTACATTATTAGGAAAATTAGATGATCAGTCGTAGAGTGACTTTTGACAATGGAAGCTTGTATGATTCCGAAACGTCAGGACGATAAACCTTTGGTTCCCGTGATGGCCAGTTCAAAGTTAGATCTATACTCTCATAGGTTACTATCAACCCTGAAGTTTCGGATCGGCATCTTTTTCTGAATATTACTTGTTGACTACTCAACTCTAACTGCAATAAGATGAACTTTCTGACAGCCTCGTAACTCAGACTAGATGGCTTTTTGCCTTTGAGCGGATTTATCGCTGTTATGGAAAACCTATGTATGTGAATTCGACGTAGCTTGGATTTTCACTTCCTACTTTTGCTCTAAAATGAAAATTTTCAGACTACTTCCACAGGTCTATAGTCGTGGTATAAACGGTGCTCTTTGTGTATTCAATCTTTATTGTTTATTCACCTTATTGATAACGATTCACCGTCCACAATCTTACAAGGGCCTGCTGTAATGCCTCTGTGACTCTCTTATCTAACGTTAGGTGCGAGACCAATTCACTAGAAGCCGGCTTATGTATAGTCCGAGCCAGCACAGGCAGTGCGCGTACGTAAGGCTTCAAATTCGCTGTTATTTATTTAGATAAATACAATATGTTTTAATGTAAAAATGGTTATTGAAACCATTTAGAGAATATCCGGGTATTTCTGTAAAATAGACATGGCCATGACAACGTTTGGCCTCGTCCGACCACACCCAATGAGCGAGGCTGTGTCTTCGCAGGGAACATTGTGTGGGCAGAAAGGGATGCTGAAGCCAATTCTGCCAAACTCCATTTACGTCAGAAAATTTCATGTGCCATTCACCAGAGTAGCTACAGAAAACGACCGTCTCCGTGAATTTAGACTGAACGATTTACATCTACCTCTACTTCGGCACACTGCTTTTTATTTCGCATCTACCAGACTAGAAGAAAAATCGTAGTAAAGGTCCAGGCCCTAGGACTTCGTTCAGTTTAATTCGGTTAAGTTTACTGATAAAAGCAGGCATGAGCCCCTGAGTACACTATTGCCAAAGTA